GTTGGCGCAGGATAGAGCAGGGTTTAGGGCTGTTGTGCATAGGGTCGCTATGAGTTGGAAACGACTCGACGGCACATAACAACAACAACATCCATATAATATAGTATCATGCATCTTTAAAACGAAAAGGAAGTTGTTACTATATGGACATGAAATGACCTCTATAACAAGTGCCAAAAAAAGCAGGATGTAGTATGCTATTTCTTACATAAAATGGGGAAAAGAACGTAAGTATGTGTGTACATATGCATTTGTAGGGGCACAAAATACAAGAAACTGGTGTTTCCGAGGTGGGGACCAGTAGCTGGGATACAAGGATGGGAGGGACACTTTTTGCTAGATTAGATTAGATATAATAATCCTAAATTTTTAACTGTGTGGTGTTATCACTTATTTAAAACCAAATCAAAAAGCCACTAGAAATAATAAGTGACTTCTAAAAATCTAATCAATATCTCTCTCCTCCTTTTGTTCCCTCTCCAATTCAAAGGCTCTGAGGCTGCTCTCAAATACCATCTTCTGTACATCTCAAGGTGTCTTGTCTTCTCAGTTAATCCTTTGAGAACGTGTGTTTTAATAGCTTATTTTGGCCCAAGTCCAGCATGAGGAAATGCAAGCCCTGGGCACTGATTTCCCCTCTAAATCCACAAGTTGAGGTGTACAGCATTAAACCCCATCTTTAGCAAACCCGGGGTAGTGGCTGTGACCAGGGAGCCAACAGAGGCAGGGTAGTGGGCTATTACCGCTCTGGTTCTCTCTCGAAGGCTTTTGTCCTCATAGTGGGGGTGGTTCGTTAGGATTCTTCCTGTACACAGCTTGACTCCAGCCAGCAGCTGCATGCTTCCGGCAAACACAGCCTTTCTTGGAGTGTTGAAGCTGAAAGTTTTAAGAGTCTGAATTAATCTCACAGCTATAATTTCTTCAAACACAACAGAAAAGGCACTCAGAAAAGAGCATGACACTCAGAATTACCGAGCTTTGTGAGGAAGTGCGGCCTGGGCTTTTGATTTGCACTCTATTTCAGGAATCTCTTTATACATGTTTTTGACAGTTCACTAGGATGATGGCTAGGAAGCACCTAACCACTGTGATGGATTTACTACTAAAAAGAATGGTCTCAGGAAGCTCCTGAGAATCTAAGGTTTCTAGGCTTAAACTCATAACCCGATCCGCCACTGTTCCAGAGGGGTAGATGGTAACAAGAATTCCAAAAAATGATGCTTTCTGCTTTAAGATATATACCTCAGAGTTAAATTTGTACTAAACTTGAAAACAGTCCAATTATAAGCCCAGAGATTGCAAGTGATCATGGGTCAATTATGAAGGACTTGGTTTACAACAAAACCAAAAATATTATTATAAATTATTTTAAGAAAAACAGATAAAACCAGAAAGAACACAGAAAGATGGTTCTGAAATAGCAAATATCATCTTATTCAACATGAGAACACACAATATTTCTAATGTGGAAACTCAAAATATTCTATTTTTTTCTTTTATGTATTTCTTTTTTGTGGGTATTTCTTTTATGTATTTTTTTTTGTTTATGAAAAACTACAGATATCTTAAAGAATAAGGGCAAAGGCAGCTCTGGTGTGAAGGAACATCCCAAAGGTCCACAGTTCGAATCCATCAGCTGTTCCATGGGAGAAAGATGGGAAAACTCCTTCCATGCAATTTACTGCCTCTAAAAATCTGCTGGAAGGGAAGCTATGAGTTAGTTCTCACTTAATGGTACTTTACAACAACATTATATTATAACCTTATAACCTCACTTTCCAAACATTATAAGCTATGCGTCTGCCTCCCTGCCATGTGAGAGCAATAATGGAGGACCAAGGCAAAGGCAATTTCTCTCAGGAAAAAGAAATTTTAATAGTTGGTTTAATTCTCTTCTACTTTGGAAACCCAGCTTGCAAGCCAATGGCATATGTGCGTGTGAGGGAGAACCCTTCCATGGCTTCTCTTCAAGGCACAAGTGCAGAACTTGCTACAGAAATCCTCCAGGGATACTGCATCAGACATTTATCTCTTTTGTGTTAAGAAAGAATTAAAACAAAGTTTGTTTTAAGGTGTCTAATGGAAATTATTAAATCCTTTGAAGAAGTAGCTCACATAGGCTGTTGTCAATGGTTTCTGAGAGCAGGGCATGAGACTTGCTGAGGTAATGAAACATTTAAAGAAGCCTATCATATTTGCATATCCATAAATATGTTGTATTTATTTCAATCTCAGTGCTTTGATCATAGCATGAATGTGATCCAGCTAAGGACTCAGGATATCCATGAACAAGTGTCCATGCAACAGTGACATTTACAAATTCTTTTGTGACAAATTAAAATTAAAAGTAAAGAGTTTACCTCTAATATTAAATTCCCACTCACCTGCATTCCAGTAAGCTTTCTTAGGTGATGGAGCTACATGAGCACATACAGAGTGGCATAAAATCGACAACTTGTTTTTCTCAGGCCAGAGTCCAGAACAAAGATTGTAGTAGAAAAAAAGGTTTACATGAACTTGGCTGTATACTCCACAGATTGTTCTGACACCCAGCCCTAGGTTAGGTGCTGTTGAGTATGACTCATAGCGACCCTATGAATAACAGTTCTGAACCCTGCCCTATCCTGTGCCATCCTCACAATCTCGGACACACTCAAGCCCATGGCTGCAGCTACTGTATCAGTCCACCTGGTTGAGGGTCTTCGTCTCCTTCACCATTTCCCTCCAAGTAACATGGCCAAAGTATGTGAGACGAAGCTTTATCATCTCTGCCTCCAAGAACCACTCTGGATGCAACTTCTCTAAGACCTTGAAAATATAATGTCCTTTCCAAGGAAAAGACTTGCCTAGCTACATGCTGCCAGCTTTGCCTCCAATGACCACTCTGGCCGCATGTTTTCCAAAACCTATCTTTAGTTTTTTGGCAGTTATGGGATATTCAGTACTCTTCTCCAGCACCACAACTCAAAAGACATCCATTCTTCTGTCACACTTATTCATTGCCCAGCTCTCAGATGCAGAGAGTGACAGAAAAGATCAGGGTCTGAAACAAGTGTATTTTAGTCCTCAAACTGACATTACTGGTCCTCAAAAATTTGAGAAGTCCCTGACTATAAAGACTTTCCCAGTTCAATACACCTCCTGATATCCTGACTGCTTGTACCAAGTGTGTTGACTGTGAATCCAAGTAAGATGCAGTCATTGATAGAATATTTTCTCCATCTATTATAACTTCAATTTTCTTGATGTTGGGACAAAATCCAGTGTTTAACTTGCAGCTTTCAATATGTGATGTTTGCTGTCCCTCTGTACTGGCAACTTATATAGAAACTTTTAAGATCTGTCCTACATGATCAGAGCAATTTACAACTGTTCAAATAAAAATGTTAAAGTGCTCAGAGTTTCTCAGTGGAAAGTTTTACAGAAAATCAGTCTTATTCATATAACATTAAACACTTTTTTAATGTTATATATACTGACTTCTCAATCTGTATGCTGAGCAAATAATCCATCAAGATGGATTCTATGGACAAAAATGTGGCATCAGAATTGGATAAAGACTCATTAACAACCTGTGTTAAGCCGATGACACAACTCTGCTTATTCAAAGTGAGGAAGATATGAAGATCAAGGACTACAGCCTCCTGGTATGGATTACATCTCAATATCAAGAATACAAACATCCGGATTACAGGACAAACAGACACATGACAGATGGAGAAAGGATTGAAGCTGTTAATAATTTTTATCTTGTGTGGATCAACAATCAACACCCTTGATACCAGTGGTCAGGAAATCAGGAGGCATACTGCGCTAGGTAAGTCTGCTGGACCTCTCCAACATGATGAAGAGCAATGTCAGTGTGAAAACTAAGGTGTGCCTGGTTCAGGCCATGGTCTTCTCAATCACCTGTTATGCATCTTAGAGCTGGACAATGAATAAGGATGACTGAAGAAGAATTGATGCCTTTGAGTTGTGGTGCTAGAGAAGAGTCTTGAACATACCATGGACTTCCAAAAGAACAAACATATGCTTCGGGGAAAGTGCAGCCAGAGTGCTCCTTGGAGGCAAAGATGGCGAAGCTCTGCCCTTCATGATGCGGACATGTAGCGAGGTGAGGCTATTCCTTGGAAAGGGGCATCATGCTTGGAAAGATCAAGGGTCAGTAAAGGAGAGAAAGACTCCCCTTCCTAACTAGATGGACTGACATAGTGACTTTAGCAATGGGTTCTAGTGTATCAGAGATGCTGAGGATGGCACAGGATGGGCAAGGTTAAAGTTAGCTGTTTATAGGGTTATTATGAGTGACACTCTACTTGATGGTACCTAACAACAACAACATACTGATTACTCTAATTTTTAAGGGAGCTCTGGTGGGTTCATGGTAAGGAGTTAGACTGCCAGTGCACAGGTATGTGGTTCAAATCCACCAGTTTCTCTGTGGGTGAAACAAGAACCATCTCCTATGTGATTTATGGCCTCTGAAAACCCATTGGAGGGCCAGCTGAGGGTCAGTTTTCAGTAGAAGACCCTCCATTTTTAGTATACCTAAAGTGCTAAAAAATCAGGGATGGTCAAATATGAGTGAAAAATGCTACCATTTTTCTAAACATTCTTTCCTTTTGAATATTTCCAATTCACTTTATCAGTCTGCTCAATCAATGATACAATGAAGTCATACACTAATGACAGAAAGTAGCTATGTTTGGGTTTTATGAACTAAATAGCTTTAGAACGCAGGAAGAAAACTGGTCTGGTCTTCCCAACTCATAAAGCATGAGGCTGAGGTGAGAACTAATAGGGTGAATTATTCTGGTTTATAGTTTTACTGCCTATATAAGGAGCCAACTTTTTTTAAAAAACCAGATGACAAATCTAGCAGCTGAGTTTATAATACTCATTAATACTGCAAAATTGTCTTAGCATAACTGCTGTGAATACATTACAGGAAACGGCAATAAAGAGATACACAGAGTTGTTTATATTGTATGTTTTATAATTACGATTTCTGTTTGTATGTGGTATTTTTATTTAGGGGAAAAGCACATTTGCAGAGACAGCTGACAAGGACCTTGGTATCCACTCATGGCTAAGGGCCAAGGACTTCAGTCAGTTTCTGAGATTCAATAAATTATACCGTTCACACAAAAAAAATGGCTGAAATTCTCAGCTGCTCAATGAGGAGTCACACAATTATTCTTTATTGATTCAAGAAGCATTACAGAGGCCCTACTATGTGCTGGGCTGGCAAACATGGTATGCCTTCCATCATGGAGCTTACAAGCTACAAGAGACAGATTCAGCTCCCATTAGAGTCAAGCAATTCAAAAGGAACCAGAACTGTTGCTGTTAGGTGCTGCCGAGTTGGCCGATTTCTGGCAACCTAAGATCCTTGCCCTGTCCTGCTCCTACCGACTGTATTCTCCACCTTGCTCAAGTCCACTGCGACAGTTTCTGTGTCAGCCTACTTTGTTGAGGGTCTTCCTCTCTGCTGCTGCCCCTCCACTTCGATTAGTTGCCTTCATATTTACTGCTTACTGTAGATCATTAGCTCCGCTATAACCAATACAGCAGGCAATGAACTTGCCTATCTGTGTGTCACGAACATCTGATTCACCCTCATCTCCCACTTGTGTCTCCTAGGCATGGCAGGGTCACCACGAGGAAGGTCACGTGCTACATGGGTGCCCAGTGGAGTTTGAGGAAAAAAATGGAAAAAAGCTCATGAAATTGTAGCATATCTTAATGTCTGATCTTATTTGCAAAGAATCAGAAAGGTAAACGAGATAATATAGTCTGTTACTGTAATATACTCTGAATGGTTAACACACTCACACCATTCCTTGATTTTACTTTAAAGTAGTAAAAATGCAAGTACTAAAATGCCTATATAATGAACTAGAAATAATAATACTAAGACATGTATTGACTTCTCAAGATAGAAGAGATGATGTTCACTCACTTTATTCTATTTGAGTTGGTTTAAGTGCTAGACTCACAGAAAACCTGGGATATACCATCTTTACTTTACAGTCTCTATTCTAAGGCAAATGCAAAAAAGTAAAAGGTACAAGAAGGAGAGGACAAAATGAAAAACAATTACCTTCTCTCAACTCCAAATTTCTGTATTCATGCTGCTTTCTATTTCCTGTAGTAACATGGCAGACAAAGGGAAAAGGGACTTTTTGCCCTTCACCTCAAATACACAGTAACTGAGAATGCTAGACGCTCTTCCTCCACAGACACGTTCTCTGCCTGCTACAGTCTGTGGTCTCTATCTAAAATAGCTAATGTGCTTTTAACCACTGAATGACACTTCTCTATTATAGAAAAACAAAGCGATTTTTACAGATGTTTGAATAAATGATGTATAAAATGAAAGGATAATTTGTTTTTATAGCTTTCTGCCAAGCTCCATAGCAGGCTGCTCAACCCGCAAACAATTTATTCTGTAAGAAATGTCACTAAATAATGACAAGGACTCACAGGTCAAATGGATTTACATTATATAATTTAAATGTCATTCCAGGAAGACCTGATGGCATTTTGAACAAATAATCTCATTTATATTTGAAGCTTTAAGCTTCAACAAGTTAATTACTGTTGAACTAATGGGTAAACTGAGCGCTATAATATAACGGGAGCATTTGTTTTATCTATACTTCAAAACTTTATAGAATTATGCAAATACTAGAAAATGATTCATTAAATATAAAAGATGTAGGCATTTAAAATCTGAACTCAGCCTACACTCTATCTAAAATATGCAATGATTCTTTGTTTTGATTAATGTAAAGGAAATTTGGTACTTTTTTCCAGTCCCACTGAGAAAATCTTGTATATGTAGGTTTCATTACTGGAAAGATACTATTTCTGGTAAAATTATCCTAAAGCCAAGTAGCTACAACTTCAAAATATTCAAACACATTTTAATTATGGATACTATTTCAAAGAATGGAAATTCCAGACCATATAACTGTGTTCATGCAGAATCTGCATGGCGACCAAGAGCACACTGTATGGTTTAAAATCAGAAGTGTGCATTAGGGCTGTATCCTTTCACCATACTATACTGAATCTGTAAATTGAGCAAATAATCTGTGAAGCTGGACTACATGAAGAAGAATGTGGCATCAGCACTGGAGGCTGAATCATCAATAAGCTGTGTTGTGTAAACTCAAGCACCCAACCACAGTGGACTGGACTGAGAAATTATGGTACATTCACACAATGGAATACTATGCAACATGTACGAGCAATAACTTTGTAAATTATTACCTAACATGAGAGGGACTGGAGAGCATTATGCTGAATGAAGTAACTCAGTCTTATAAAGACAAATACTTGATAAGACTATTCCTATAGAATGAGTATGAGGATCCAAGGGGGGGGCACTTAATCATAGGGTCACACAATTTGATAGGTGGAGAGAGAGGGGTGGGAAAGAAAAGGGGAAATATCCAATGTGAAAAACAATGTCTATGAACTTTGTAAGTAAACCCAGTATAAAATTTAAAAAAAATTTAAAAAATAATAATCTGTGTCGTGTAGATAGAGACAATCTTGCTTGCCGAAAGCCAAGAGGACTTGGAGCACTTGATGAAGACCAAAGACTCCAGCCTTCACCACAAAGAAAGCAGGAATCCTTAGAAGTGAGCCAATAAGTAATATCATGATAAACTGAGAAACAAAGTTGTCAATTTATTTTATTTTATGTAAATTCACAATTAATGCTCACGGAATGCAAGAGCCACAAAATCAACACCGTACTGGGGGTAAATGTGCTGCAAAGGACCTTTTAAAAGTACTAGAGAGCAAGAATATCACTTTGTGGACTAACGTTTGTCTCACTCAAACCATATTTGCAATCACCTCATATGCTTGGCAATGAGTAAGAAAATCTGAAGAAGCGGCCCTATAGATTAATGATGCTGACCAAGATAATAAATATACCACAGACTGCTTGAAATGCTTTCACAAACATTCAACCCCTTCAGTATGGTCTCTCTCCTACTAAATGTTACTTTAAGTGATTCCTCTTATCTTCCCTTTAGGCTATAAAAGGGATGACAGATATATTATCTAGAAAAGACAGGATTCCTTGTGAGGAGGTGGAATGTCTCCATCTGCCTCTGAAGGAGAGACATCCCCGCACCTTCCCTACCCTCCAAATAGACAGATCCTCTTTCCACAGGGAAGCTTAGCACTGTCTGTAGCACCACCGAGATTCTGCTGCATGTGTGGGGGTTTTACAGCCTGGAAGGCATGAAGCAGAGAGCTGCGCTTCGCCTCACTTCACACAAGCATGACTGTAAGGAGGACTGCTGTGCTGTCCCCTAGCATTTCTGCAGGTCACTGTTTCTCTGGATCAGACTTGGTGATGACAGCTGTGCCCCTCCCTCACAGATGTCATCATAACCACAGGGCCAAGGACTGAGCATTTCCACTTGGCTCTTTGAAAACAGACTTGGTGGATGCATTCAGATACTTTAAAACAGACTTTTAGATATACCCCAAGGGTGCCTCCAGCACGTCTCAAGCCTGCTGGCATGACAGACACAGGTATCACAGCAGCAAAGTGATGGCTGGAGGTTCTAGTTCATGTTTCAAACACAGAAGAAATCACTCATGTTTGGAATCTAAGCCTCCAGACCAGAGCTTTGATTTAAATGTTGATTTAAACAAACACACTTTGTGTCTAAATAGATCCCCGTTTTGGCATACATTCATCATCACTTAAGCTTATTTCACAAACATGCCTAGCAGCTATTTTTTATAAATATAATTATTTAGATGTGAAGAATTTTACGAGAAACTAGGCAAGATTAGCTCACAATGGAACCAACATCTATGAACAATACAAATCCTTCAGTTGCTGGTAACTAAGCATTAAAAAAACCCCTCAAAGTCATGTATCTACAAAGGTGCCAACAGGGAGAGAAACCATGAGAAAAAAGTAAGGAGTAAAAAATTACTTCCCATGTAAATGAAACAATTCAAGCTAATAAAAATAAGAAGGAGAAAAAAAAAATTACTTTCCCAAATGAAAGAAGTAACAGACTAATATACTATCTTCTTTAAACCTAGAATAATCTCTTATGATTTTTCAGAGTCAGAAATGTTACTCTGGCTTTTAAGTAATCCTCTAAGAGGAAAGCCATGAAAATGAAGGCATTACAAACAAGCACATGCAGTGTCAGCCAGCTCGAGGAAGGAAAGGTGGGGCTGGGGAAAAAGAAAGGCAGACTCTCTATGAAATCCTCCAAGGATTCTGTCGGGGTGTTGACAAAGCTAACCAGGTAGACCCACAGGCGCTCTCTTCAGGAGGCTCCAAGAGCAGGGGTCCTTCTGCATCATTTCAACCATGTAGCTGGAAAATCACCCCTACCAACCTCACCGTCAGATGTAAAGTCATACATTTCCATTTGACTACAGTTCATGCAAAAGTTATTAGCTTTTCTTTATATGAATAATCCTGTTCCCCAATGTACAATAAATACTGAAGAAATTATTTATAATTATCTGCCATGATTTAAAATTAAATTAACACACAAAGACAAAGCACGGTTTAACATTCTTAGCACTGGAGATATGTGAAAAATGATATGCACTGCATCTAGTCAAACCCAAACCAACCCTGGGATCAAAGCCCACAGATACTTCAGACATTAATCTCTACAGAATCCAGGAACTGCACTCAAGAGACCGAGCTATCAAACATTACCACCTCCTAATACACAAGCAGGGCTAAACTGTCCTGGTTAGTAACACTAGTCATGAGCAAGTGCCAGTATGGCTGCTAAAATCCCAAGTGATTGAGACAATAGGGCCAATTTCAACATCTATTTATGCTGCTTTTTTGTTATAGAGACATCAAGTATTAGAGGGCACTGAAATGCTGCTAGGAAAAATGTATTTTTGCTGGTGAACAGTAGGTGTCATTAGCAAAGCTTGGGAACACCTGAATTTCATTCTAAGGCTGAACACTAAGGGAAAAGAAAAATAACAGCATGCAGGTAAAAACAATCAATAACATGTTAAGGCGTTAGAGTCAACAGAAGAAATAGTAATTTTAATATTTAAAATTTTCTTGAACAATATGATTAGTTAAAGTGAAATTTAAACTCAGCCATTATGACCAGCCATTATATACCACTGTTTATGGTACAATTTTAAGTGATTAACAAGTAAAACTTTTTATGTCAGCATTAATGAACGTTGAATGTCGTAAAGTGAAAGAAGATGCTAAAGATAAAACTGGTAGCAAGACAGCATAAAACTTTTAAATTCCACCAAAGATAAGAAATTTTTCTTTCCATTTCTGCCACTGGTTTGAAATTTATCCCACTAGGCTGTTATATTTCCAAGATTATCTTCCTTTCTTCATGAGATTGTGTGTAGGAGAGAAAATATTTCTTGAATTAAAAGAAATTCTTTCTAAATATAGACATTTTTTAAAAAGAAAACATCATCTTTATCTTAGAAACTTGGCTACTGTCCAAGTATTTACACTTGTAATCAATTGCTAAGTTATGTAGAGATGGTAAAAATATCATTAAAATATCTTTTAACTTAATTATGAAAGAGATAAACATTCAAATGTCCCAACTGAAACTTTCAATCGTTCCCAAAAGGCAACTGAGGTTCCTCATCACTCCTTAATCTAAGCCCTTTTGAGCCAACATATCAACAATAAGACACCCAGACCATGAGCCTCTCAAAAGCAAATATAGACTTTTAATGGGAAAAACTACATTAAGAATGAATGTTTCTTCCCTATTAACTTTAGAAGAAAAAAACCCTCAAATGTAGTGACTCTAAAATGACTTGAAAGTTTAAAAGGTTAAAAAAAAATTCCTCTTACTTAATCCAGTTCATCAGCTCCACTGTGTCTGGATCATAGAATTCTCTTAACTCGGAGAGCTCATCCATCATTCCTGGCCAGAACTGAAATGAAAAACAAAACAAAACCAAAATCCACCCCAAGCCATCAACTATCACTGTAATTAAATGAAAAAGAGAAACTGTGCATGGAACTCTTAAGAGTAAAATATACTCTTCAGGGTGAAATGTTACTGTTACCTCTTCTATAAAAGGACATCACACTATATTACAGTTGCAAAAATACTTCCAATGACAGAATTTCATTTCTCCTCCTAATTACCTGCTGAGGTAGATGATGCAGCAGGCATTGTCATTGTTCTGTAAGTGAGGAAACTGTAGCTCAGAGAGCCACAACCTAACCAGATCACAGTCACAGAATCTGACTCCAAAGCCAGCCTCCTTTTCATTGTGTGACATGCTGATGATATTTTTTGAAACAGAAATCCAATATAAATCTAAACAAATGGATCAATGTATACTGATTACAGGTATAGTGGGAGAAAAGAACATTTGAAAGTAGGTATTTTAGGGAAGTCCAGTAATATTTAATCTGTACTATATAGTCTACTGAGTTATTTAGTTGAGTTACTTAAAGTTGTGTAGTAAAATTGATGCCTTCGAATTGTGGTGCTGGAGAAGAGTCTTGAATATACCATGGACCGCCAAGAAAACAAATAAGTCTGTCTTGGAGAAGGTGCAATCAAGTTTCTACTTGGAGGATAGGATTTTTTTAAAATTTATTTTATTTTATTAATTTTGATGAACATTTACAGAGATTTAGGATTTCTATTCATTCACTGTTACACTTTTCTCCCTGCCCAGCCCTCCCTCCCAGTTCACTCCTCTCTTTGAAAAGTAAAATTCTTACATTGGTATACAATCCCCCCCCGCACACCCTCACCCCGACCACCCTGAGTACACTCCACTATGCAACCTTAATTCTGGACTCTTGTGATAACCATAATACCCTATCATATATCGCTTTTAGATTTTGAAGCTCCATCTCACATACTTTGGGCACATGGTCAGAAGAGACCAATCCCTGGAGAAGAACATCATGCTCAGAAGGGTGGAGGGACAAGGCAGGAGAGGAAGACCTTGGATGAGGTGGATCAATACAATGACTGCTGGAGCAATGGGGGTTGGCATGTTGGAATTAGTGAGATTGGATCAGGACAGGTTCAGAGTGCATAGGGTCGCAGGCAACAACAACAACAGTAATAATTTTGTTGTCTAATATTACTATGTGTATATATAATGAAAAAATTAATTCAATCTTAGTTATGTTATCAAATGATGGCTGACTAAAATGACTTGATCACTTATATACCTCCACAGGTCAACTGCAGTATTCACTTCACACACTGGAATATTTTAAGAGGCTACACTGACACTGTATTGATGATTCAGTATGCTCAAAGACAATTTTAGGTTCCCTAACTAGCACCGAAGTAGCACTTGACTGGCCCATGCTGTGTTTCAATCTGATCATCTTCCTATTCTTTCACCTCATCTTTGGTCATTTTAACTGTTCATTCATATCTTTAACTCCCCGGTGAGTGAAACAGGAAAACTGCTGGAAATGAAAAATTAGGTGTCAGCACTTCTGTTTCTATTTTTTGGAAGAGATACAGTACTGATTAGAGGATATCCTTGAGCTGTCCATAATTAATTTTGTTAATCAACACAGTAGTATTTTTATAGAAGAAACATTTTGAAATCAGTGAACTCAATGGATATTGGCTATTTTTTCTCATTTGAAACCTGCTGTATTAATTCTGGAAATGTGAAAAAAATCTAGTAACATACTCTTATCAAATTACTTTATATGCAAGTTAGGGTCAGATCAGCTAAACAGATTGTTTATAAACTATTTACAATAACTTATGTAAGGTATCAACAAAGAGCTGGACAATGACTAGGGATGACAGAAGGAGAGTTGACGCCTTTGAGCTGTGGTTCTGGAGAAGAGTATTGAATATACCAGGGACTGCTAGGAAAACAAACAAATTCATCCTGGAGAGGGTGAAGCCAGGCTGCTGCTTGGAGGCAAGGATTCTGAAGCTTCGTCTGACATACTTTGGACATGTTGCAAGGCGTGATCAGTCCTTGGAGAGGGACGTCATGCTTGGGAGGGTGGAGGGACAGCGCAGGAGAGTAAGACCCTCGAGATGGATTGATTCAATCACTGTGGTACTGGGGATAGCTGTGTCGGAGACAATGAGATTGGCACAGGACAGAGCAGAGTTTAGGGCTGTTGTACATAGGGTCACTGTAAGTTGCAGACGACTCGACAGCACATAACAACAACCTAAGTAGGTGTGACTTTAAAGTGGAGACTAGAACAGTTTCTTTTACCTTTTAAATCAGATTATGCAAGGGAAAAAGACAGTAAAACTGGTAGTTTGGCAATTCTGAAACACTGTTAAAACTGCTATGTAAAACTTAAAATTTGAAAAATATGAATTCATATTATTTACAAAAAATATGTACAAGAGTTGAAAAATATCTGGATTCATGGTAATCCTATATAACATGCATACAAAAGGAACCCTGGTTGCAGCGGTTAAAACACTCAGCTCCTAGTCTGAGGTTCAACTCCACTGGCAAAGATGTGTGACAGTCTGCAACCACAGACTGTTCTATTGTGTCCTACAGGGTGGCTAGGTATCAGAATTGAATTGGTGGCAATTACATATATATTGCTGTTGTTATGTGCCACTGGGTTGTTTGCAACTCACAGAGACCCTATCTATGTACAATAGCCCTAAACCCTGCTCTATCCTGTGCCGACCTCACTGTCTCCGATACACCTACTCCCATTACCTCAATCACTGAATCAATCCATCTCATCGAGGGTCTTTCTCTTCTGCGCCATCCCTCTATCTCCCAAGAATGATGTTCCTCTCTAAGGACTGGTCCCTCCTTGCAATAACCCAAAGTATGTCAGACGAAGCTTCAGAATCCTTGCCTCTAAGGAGTAGCCCAGCTTCACCCTCTCCAGGACAAACCTGTTTGCTCTCCTAGCAGTCCAGGTATATTCAATATTCTTCTGCATCACAGCTCAAAAGCATCAATTCCTTTTTATCATCCCTAGTCACTGTCCAGCTCTCCAATGTATAGCACACAACTACGAAGACTATAGGCTGGATCAGGCCCACCTTAGTCTCCGGCCTGATGTTGCTGCTCTTTAGTACTCTGGAAAGGTCCCTGACAGCTGACTTTCCAATGCAATTCGTCTCTTGATTTCCTGGCTGCTGGTACCAAGAAATACAAATAAATCTATTGGGACTCCTCCTGAAATTCTGTACTGACTGGTCCAACCATTTTTGGAGTATTCTTTAGAATACTGTAGCTCCTTTTCAGAGGAAATTGGCAAAGATTTCTTGGGAATTATGGTTTCTTCAGTACTATCACTGGTTCTTCTCTAGCAATGGTTCACACCGAGAGGGACACCAGCCCTGGGATATGTTTGCCAATATCTGGAGACGTTTTTGGTTGTCACACTTGAGGGAAGGATGTGTTTAAAATCTGGAGGCTCTACATAAACATCCTATAATGTATAGGACAGTCTTCAACAAAGAATCACCAGTCAGTACTACAATAATGTCAAAACCCCCTGATGTTTAGCTCGGATTTCTCAAGTTGGGTGATGCTTAAATGTCAATTGGATAGTTGATGAAAACATCCATTTTTGCAATCTACTCTGAGAGTTTCTGGTTCAGTGGGTCTGGAGCAGGAGCTGCAAATCTCAATTTTTAACAAGTTCCTGGATGATGCTGATGTGGCGAGTCTGGGGACCACACTTTGAAAACTAACTGCTCTGTAGCACAGTCTAATCCTGTGAAGTGTTTCCCTCGCTTGTATCAAGAAATGAGAGACTACAAATAGTTTTAAAAAAATTAGTGCCATTTTAAATAAATAGCTGAGACATAAAACAACCTAGCCTACACATGCAGAGACAGTGGAAGATGATTGTGATAGTTTGCCTGTATCTTATGTAGTGAGACAATCTTGCTAAGCTGTAACCTTTTTATCTTTTTGTCTAAATCTTCTGAATGAAACAAAATCATACACAAAAATATAAGCAAATAAAATAAAAGCCGAGCTCCTGCCTGGCTGATCCTCTCAGAGGGTGACTTCCCCCATCCTCAGCAAGATACACGAGAGTTTGAAATCTATTGTTCTTAAGTTAGAATGGGTTTTTTTTTAGGAAAAAAAGTCTAAACCTAGGAAACATGCGGGAATTTTTTTTTTTTAGAAAAAGACAAGCGCTCATTTTGATGAAACAATTTGTGCTATGTTCCCAGGTTAAAATTCCAGCATCTAAATCTTAATGACATGACAAAGTAGCAAATCTAATCCAGAACTCAATTTCCCCCCTCATATTCTTGAACTTGAAACACAATTAATGTTATTTGAGGAATTAATCACTGACAATACAGGGAATTTAATTATTTTTTTTACTGAAATTCAAGAAAATATCTTTCTGTGTATATCTTCTCTGGTACAAAGATTATTTTAAACACCTACTAAAATATGCACAATACAGTAAGATACGTTTTAAAATCTCTTGCATTTAAATCTCTTAAAAATCAAGCAGTAGGGGAAAATAAATTTTCCACTTCATTCATCTCAAAATAGCTTTGAAAACATCTTTTCAGAGTCTAAAAAGAAGAAGATTTAAATACCAAAAGTAGTTATAATAACTAAATTTACATTTCTGCTTTAATTTTCTTTTCTAGTTAACAAGTATTTGTGAAGCATCAGTCTTCTTGTGAAAGCCAAACTGTTACAAACCAATTATAACCTCTACAGCCCTCTACTTGTCAAAAAATAGGCACAATACATTGAGTCAAAGCATTTATTTGGCTAAATGGGTTAATGACAAGAATGAAGAAGTTGGTCTTACCTTCCAGCAAAGATACAGCAAAATTAATATTGGTACTGAATACCGCATTATACATATCTACATAAGAAAGAAACCATTTAGATCACAAGTATTTTGAATATTTTTGCATTATAGTTCTATTCGTAAATCTACAGTTGTTATTCTTTTTAAGCAACAAATATATAATTTAATGAAGATGAAATCCCCAAAATACAAGACAGCTGAGTCAACATAAGGGTTCCAACAATTTGGAAAAAATTTATGGCTTCTACTATATTGCCACCTAGTGAATTTATAGGGCAGAACAATTCAAAATTGCATTTGTAGGCTATTAATCACTACTATATTCTTATTAATGATTATTTTTAGGAAAATACATTAGCATAGTAACAGTGATAACTCTGGGTAATAGAATTATTGGGTGATTTTTAATTTTCTTTTTTTGTGCTTTTTAAATATTTTCCAAATTAACATAGCAAACTTATGAGCTGAGGCAAAAATAAGCCATACATTTAAAATATAATTTCTTATAAAATCATAATGCATCAATTACTTATTTCAGTTCCCAATCTGAGTCCATTTATCAGAATGAAGTAAGGGCTACTACTGAAAAATAATGGATTGGTATGAAAGAAATACTAAGAGTAACAAAAATGACAGAAAAAAGAGATAATACTGACTCTTTGGGGGTTATAAAGACGGATCAACTTCAGAAGTAACTCCCATATTTCAGGACTGCATAACCCAAATGATGCGAACACACACATATGTGATGTCCAGAGGTATTTCATTCTGTAAGAGCAGAAACAGGAACAAGCCAGTACTATATCTATTCCTCACTTATTAATATGGTTAAGCTCCAAAGACTGAGTCATTATGTGAAAATAAAATACTATGCGAAAATGGGAAAAGATGCTATCAGAGGAAAAGAGGTATCAGATGGTATAAAGGAAAAGGACTATATTACTACGTAAGTGTTAAAATGACATCATTACGTAATTATAAAGTTGCTTCATTTTATAGCTGTCAGACCACTGTGAATCACACCCAGTCAGGATGAGAAACCTTAAGTACTACAGCACAGCTACTCTTGGTTCTCATCTTGATGTTCTTCACTGCCAGTTATTGGCTGTTGAGGCACACAATAATTGCATAACAGATATTTTACTATTGTCGTAAATTAAAATGTTGGATAAAGCAATAGTTGAGATAACTGAGGAGAGGCTGTAGTTCTGCATTACTGTCTGTGGTAGCAAATCTTCAGACACTAAGCAGGGAACACCTGTCACAGAGTGAGCTGTTGGTTTCACTCCCTTTGTGGGTGATCACGGAAGTAAAGGAGAACGTTCAGAATTAGGAAATGATGGATGGTGAGCAGTATTCTGCACCAGGAAACAAAGGCAAATTTTATAGGAACCATATTCACTAATGCATATGACTGTCAGCTTCCAAATAGTACTTCTTTTTTTTTTAATTTGATAATCTTTTTTTTTTTATTTTAATGAAAGTTTACAAACACTTTGGATTTCCGTTTATTCATAGTTGCACACTTTCCTTCATGCCAACCCCTTACCCCCCAGTTTGCTTTTCTCTTTGTTCAAAATTCTTTCATCGTTATACAATTCTGCCCGCCCCCCAGTCTGGACTCTTGTCATGACAATAATACCTAATCATATATTCCTCCTAAACCGTTCTCTCCCTCACTTGTTTCAAAGCAATATACATTATTTATCCCCTCTTAATTTCCCCCAACCCCAATGTCAGTCCCACTTTACAACAGTGGCACTGTGCAATATTTGTCCTTTTTAAACTAAGATATTTCATTTAGCATGACCTCCAGGGTAACCCATTTTGTATAATATTTCATGAGTTCCTTGGTTTTCAATGCAGCATAGTATTCCATTGTGTTACCAAATACTATCTCTAAAGACTATCTAGTTGAGAGGAGCTAAAATTTAAAAAGCCCCAATCAAAGAGATAAGACAAAAATACATCATTGTACAAAGAAAACAACAGAACATTTCTACAAGACACAATAAAAGAGCTAAACAAATAGGAAAATGTTCCCTGTTTATGGATGTTGTTGTTATGTGCTGTCGAGTAGCTTGCAACTCACAGCGACCCTATATACAACACACCTAACCTATGGAGACTTAATATTGTGAAAATGACAGTCCTACCAAAAACAATCTACATGTTCAGTGCAATCCCAATACAGATATCAAATTCATTTTTCAAGGAGAACAAAAGGGAAATTTTCAAGTTTATTTGGAGAGGAGAGAGACCCTGAATAAGCAAAACACTTCTGAAAAACAAAAATGAAGTGGGTGGCATAGCACTCCCTGACCTCAAAACCTACTACATAGCGGTAGTAACCAAAACAGCATGTTACTGGTACAATGACAGGCATGCAGACCAATGGAAGCAAATTGAGAACCCAGTAATGGACTTCTCTATCTATGGTCAACTGATATTGACAAGGAAATAAGACCTATTAAAGGGGGAAATGACCACCTTTTCAACAAATGGTGCTGGCAAAATGGGACTGCTACCTGCAGAAAGGTGAAACAGGATCAACATCTCATACCATACACAAAAATCAACTCAAGGTGGATCAGAGACCTGGGAGTAAAGGCCAAAACCAAAAAGTTCATAAGAGACAAACTGGGATCAAGTTTAGATGGCCTAGTCTATGGTATAAAGAAACGGCCAAAATCAGCCAGAAACGTACACTCTGGAGATGATAAAATGGATGAAAGGGGCCTCTTAAAGATTAAATCCCTGTGTGCATTAAAACACTTTCCAACAGAGTGAAAAATAAAACCCACTGACTGGGAAACGACATTTGGTAACACCATTTCAGGTAAGGATCTCATTTCAAAAGTTTACAGACTCTTACAGGGCCTCCACAAGAAAAAAAGACTGATAATATAATTACAAAATGGGCAAAAGACATGGAAAGACTTTTCACAGAGGAAGATATTCAGATGGCCAAGAGTCACATGAAGAAATCCTCAAAATCACTGGCAATAAGAGAGATACAAATCAAAACCACAATGAGATACCATCTCATCCCAGTAGCAGTGGTAAAGTTTAACAGGAGACCACATAATAAATGTTGGGGAGGATGTGGAGGAAAAGGAACTCTTCTACACTGTTAGCAGGATTCGAAAACGGTACAACCACTCTGGAAGGCAGTTTGGTGTTTCTTCAAAAAGTTGAACATAGAAATTCTGGATGACATAGCTAGTCCTCTGCTTGGAATAGATCTCGAGAAAATGAGATCTGAGGCACAAAAGGAGATTTGTACACCAATGTTTACTACAGCATTATTCACCATCACAAAAGCATGGAAACAGCACAAATATAATCAAATGGATTGGGAATTATGGTACATTCACATGATCGAATACTATGCAGCACGCAGGAGCAAAGATTTTATAAATCACTACCTAATCCAAGGGCAATCTCCTCCAAGCAGATTTATAGTCTTTCTCACAAACCCGCTAGAGGGTCAGCTCCAAGCTGGTTCCTACTTGAGGGCAATGGATTTAATCATTATAACAGTAAGAACATAATTTGTTTGTTTTTTAAAAAAATCTTCTTTAGCATGGAATCTTCACACTTTATTATTAAAGTGAGAGAATGGTATCATAAAATTCAGACATCCATCACCTAGCTTTTAAAACTTAGAACAATTTTTCACTGTCAGTGGAGTATTTGAAAGTAAATTCCAGACATTATATCATCTAAATTAACCTTATCATCTAGATGATGAGGGCTCTTTGAAAAAATAAAACATAATCATAGTATCATGTCTGAAAAGTTTAGTAACTCCATAATAATCATGTAATATTTGGAAGCAGGAGTGGCATCCACGTCCTAAACAACATGCCTCTGGACACTCTATGAACTTTGAGAAACAATAGTTTTAGAAAGGCTTCACCTCTTTTGGTCGCTGTAAGTTGTGCTTGGCTTGATGGCAAGCAATAAAACAACAATGGGCGGGAGGACTGCCGAGCGTTATGCTAAGTGAACGATATCAGTTCTTTATGGACAAATACTGTATAAGGCCATTATTGTAGAAACAGAAATACGTAAAATGTGTATGAGGCTCAGAGGGGAGGTTAGGAGCAGGGGGTGAGGATGGGCAGGGAGGTAATCATGAGGTCGTGCAACGTGATGGCTGGAGGAGGGGGTGGGTAAAGAAATGGGAAAGGCTGAGTGTAAAAAAAACAGTGTATAAGAAATTTGTTAAGTAAAAACAGGATAAAATAAAATTTTATTTAAAAGAAAAAAAATACCTCATTGTACTCAATGCCAAGAATCCAAACAGAATAGTATGCATTAAGTTGTAGGCAGTTTCTGGTTTCAGTTCAATTGTGCATTTTCCCATTTTACTCATGGATTGTTGATTTATTGAATTACTAAGTAAAAAAAACAAACATACAAAATGAAGCTGGATATTTAACATTAATTTCATTAAATCTTTAAAAAGGAATATACAGGAAACTAATGCCTTCATACATTAAAAATGTATTCTTTTTCTAAGATGAAATAAGGGAACATTGATCAATTTTTACTTGTTTATGAGGCTAAACAGTTTCATAACATAAATGCATTAATAATTAGAGTGACTAGAATTTCACAGTAGATTTCATTTTCATTTAAGTAAAAATTTAAAGTGCTTCAATTATTTAAATTATAAATGAAACAAAGCAATTGAAATGGGAAGAGACCTTTAGAGCTTTACAGATCACTGATATTTTCTAAATTTTCACAAATAAGCAAAAGTAAAGTGAAACCAGGTTCTTAAATGAACTAATGACCACATTTTCAACCTATAAATGTGTACGTTTAAGAGATTACCTATCAAATATCAAACAAAAACCCCCAAATCCATTCAACTCCTAGTAACTGTAAAGGCCAGAGCAGAGCTCCTCCGTGGGGTCCCAAGGCTGCACATCCTTAGAGGAGTAGATTGCCGCCTTTCACCCTCTGAGCAGCTGGTGAGTTTAACTATGGTCCTCTGGTTACCATTAGAGCTGCTCTAACAAATACTTCTACATTAAAATCCTTGTATCTCCCAAAATGAGCAATAATTCCTTACTATCACCTGACACTAGGTTAATGTTGTATTTTCCTTGTATTTGATTCAGGAAGCAAAGACTACAAAAGTCATTTTACCGATAATATCTCTTAAATATCTTTGGGTCTGTAAGTGAGCTCTGGTGGCCTTGTAGCAAGAAGCTGTGCTGCAATCCCAAAGGCACACAGTGAAATCCACCACTTGGATTTCACCAGATGCTCCGCTGGAGAGAGGGGCAATCTCCCCTTGTGCCAGTTGGATCCGACTCCAAGGTACCCAACAGGGGAAAAACCCTCATCTGTCTCAGTAACCCTTTCCTTTAAAGTCACTTATTTATTGAAGGAAATGGAACCTCTATCCTGTAAACTTCATCATCTGGACTTAGCTGACTGTCTCCATGTGGTGGTGTTCCTATAACTTCTAATCAGACCTTGAAACTTGCCAGAGTCTATTTTTTTCCCCCAAGAACAACACATGAGACTGTGCGATCCTTCATATTAAATACATAACCCTGGGAAGCACATACTGGCTGCTGTTCTCCACTTTCGTGATGTTAAGATTGATGGGTGGGTTCAGAAGGTATATAATTCATTGTTGAAGGGGGATTAAATCAGCAGTAAGGGCCAGCTACCAGCTTAAGATAAAAAAGATTACTTTCATAAAGGCCCTACAATACATATTATGGGGCTTCTCTACGTAACTAGAGTACATCTATTTCCAAAAAAATCTTTCACCATCCTAGATTTATAAGAAAACTAAAATACTGTAAAGCAGTTTTCATCATTGATGGTCATGTTTTACTCAAATGTTATCTATTACAACCCAAGTTCTAGCTTCTATATTGACACTGAGAGGTTACCCCCAGACAAGTGGAGAACACAGGCCCTCCGAATACCTGGCCCCTTCACAACCCTCCCCCGCCAGTCATAAGGGTCCCATTAATCCCATCAGTAGATAATACAGGATTTCCTGCTGCTGCATCCTTCACATCAATGCAGACATGATAAATAAATGTAACAGAGTATTAAAAAAGGTAGAAATATTGCTTTACTTTATATTGATAAATGATCTTTCCAATTACTTAAAAGTTAATTCATGCGATCAAACAAACACCACCCCATACCACTGCTGTCATATCACAGAGCACAGTGGCCTCCAGGGCAAGGTAGAACTGGCCCCAGGGCTCAGAGGTGATCTTCACAGAAGCAGACTGTCCAATCTTGTGTCACAGCCTGTGGCTTCCAGTGACTTCTGATGACCTTCTGATTAGTAGCCAAATGTTTAATCACTGTGCCACCTTAATTTTCCTATTAAGACATTATAATCTTCAAATTACTTCAGTTAATGGAGTGCTTTTCTCTACATTAAATATCCCTACCTGGTAGATGAGGACGTTCTACATTCTGACTCTATAATCATACCAAATCAGCGTCCAGAGATGGCTCATAGATTCACACTGTTCATGGCAGACTTTTCAAACACTGCTGACCAGCTGCCTTTCCTGATCTGCATGCGTCTACTGTCCTGTTGACACTTGGTGTGTCTAGAATAATATCAAATTACACTGTCTAGAATAATTTTCATCTATTTTCACAGGACTAAATTTTATCATGAGCTAGGTATATAAAAAAGAACACTTCCAAAAGATACTAAAGCCGTTTATAGTCAATGAAATATTTTCATGGTTCAGTGTTGCTTCATTCTTAATAACTATAAAACACCTCAACTGCTCTGTGCTCATTTTAATGACTTTTCCCCAACACGGCTCTCTTGTGGCTGTGAATCACAGCTCGCCAGCACCTTAATTGGCAAGGTAACTACACAGAAAAAAGGCCTTCCGTGTGAGCTTCATTAACTTTTCACAAATGACAGTAGCTTCAACTTCCTATACTTAATTTTCTCTCCATTTAACATGAAGAGTAAAAGCAAAAACCTGCATCCACTTGATAGGAAGGTATTCTGACAAGTTTTTAAAGTCTTAAGGTTCCCCGATTCTTTCAATAGACTAGCATCTATGCAACATTCTTTAAAACGGCAATTCTGACTAAGGTTTTCAGTAGATCCTAATCACTATGGTCCACTCCAACTTTACCAGCTCTGAAACAAGATGTAACAAAATAAATTAACAAGAATTAACTCTTGATCGTATATGAGAATTTTTTTTTAAAGGCCATTAGAGAAGAGGTAGAAAAAGGTAGAAAAGCATGAAATAATGGAACAAAGCAGAGACTTAAAATAACAGCATCAAATGATAGTCTAGATGCCAATTTAACTATTTTGTTGTTTTGACTTATTTCTCATAAACCTTGTAGAGTAAATACTCTTGGTTTCACCATTGTACAGACAAAGAACTGGCAATACTGAAAGGTTTTATAACTGGCTCAAAGATCTATCACTCTCTCCCCCAGCTGTGCAGAGCCAGGACTTAAAACCAGATTAGTCTGTACCCACATCCGTTCATTACTCTCAATAGAGATATCTGAGAGTGGAGTCTATTCTAAATGGGAAATGCTATTAGAAGCTGAACATACCACTTTATGACTAATATTTGATTTTCAACCAAACAATTTTTCTGCAGCACAGAACAAATATATTAAAGCAGGGTGTTAAATGTCTGAAATACACCATACCTGAGATTATGGAAGGCAACAGCTATTGCTGCAATCACTGTGATGGACAGCACAAAAACATAAGCGTAAAATAACAGAGTCTCTGAAAGCCTTTCAAATGTATTAAAAGGCAGGAGACCAAAAGCTTCTTCACACAGATACAGATTTGCATCAAAATCTCTAAGGAATAAATGAAGGGGGGGGAAAGATAATGTAATCAAGTGATAAGCCATATTTTTTTATTCAAAATGAGTCTATAATTAAGTGAAATTACAATGATGAGTTAAGTTTTAAAATCTTGAGATTTAATATAAAAATGGAAAACAGATTGTCAATCAGTCATACCTTGTTGCTCCAAACCCAAATTTTGCTTTCAGAAATTTAAATATGTGCTCATCTGACTTCAGGTTAAGATTTTTCTATTGGGGAAAGTAAAAAAATGCTGTTAATGCATTAGCATGGTTTTCCTACAATTTCCTATTAGAAAAAAACTGTAAAATTAAAATCAACAAGTATTTGTGGTAGTTTTTAAACTTCAAGACGTTGAAAGGAGGAATTTTCAAAATTCTTCTCTCCCTCACCCTTCTTTTTAAAAAAGCAGAATTCTTTTTGCCCATTAGAACTTTTAATACTCAAAATGTTCGGTATGTAAAACAGATTTCTAAAAGACATAATTTTCCTTGTGGGGAGAAGGAAACGGCTGAAGCACAGTGAGTATAATGTTTTTCATTAAAATGCCAGCAACATCATGACCTGAAATGTTGAAATTTTTACATGGGCTTTTTTGGCTTTGGGGTTTTGTGTCTGCCGACAAAACTGATGTAAGATTCACCAACCCAAAGACAACTTAAGACACAGCAGGGATCCTTAAGGGGTGAAGGGGAAAGTGCTAATGTCCACCATTGTTGCTGCCTGTTGTTAGGTGCTGTGGAGTTATATATGGCTCAAAGCCACCTTATTAACAACAGGTCTGAAACCGGCCCTATCCTGCATCATCCTATCATCTCCGACACACTTGAGTCACCGCCTCAGTCACTCTATCAACCCATTTGATGGACAGTCTTCCTCTCCTTCGCTGTTCCTCCACCTTCCCAAGCATGATGTCCCTTTTCAAGCAACAGCTTCTCCTAGCAACTTGTCCAAAGTATCTGAGATGAAGCTTCACCGTCCTTGCCTCCAAGGAGCACTCTGCTTGCACTTTCTCCAATACAAATCTGTTTGTTCTTTGGCAATCCAGTACTCTCTGGCAGCTCAGCACACTTCTCCTATACCCAACTCAAAGGCAATCTTCTTCTGTCATCTTGATTCATTATCATTCATTCTGTAGGTGGGGCACGTTATTTAAAAATATCGCGGTGGTCCTGCTTCAGCATGGAAACACACAAGACAACAAGTCCTAGAGCAAGACCTGTACCCTCAAGTAAAGGATGCTCTCAAAAAAGCATGAGTCTGAAGAAATAGTAACAAACATGTTTAGCCATCAACAAATGAACAGAGAGAAAAACTGGCATATTCTCACAATGGAATATTACATGGTACGGCAAAACAATGAAGTTGTAAAACATTATACAACATGGGGGAGCCTGAGGACATTATGTTGAGTAAAATATCTAAGTCACAAAAGGACAAATACTGCATAACATTGCTGTTAAAAGAGGACAAACATTGGGGGAGTTGTAGGAGAGAGGATGGGAAAAGAGTGGAGAAAGAATGAACACAACATTAGCTCAGATAAGGAGAAGAACTGTCCAAAAGGTATATATGATTAGGCACTGTATGTAGAACAACAATCTGGAACAAGGGGTGCATTGCAGAGAGGGCTGGGGAAGAAGGGGGGGGTGTAAAATGTGCAACAATGAAAAAAAACCATTTTCGATGTTTAAAAATAAAAAGCATGTTTAACTGAGTTGCCTTCTATGGCACTTAAAAAAATTTAGTGTAAACACCTACTGAACATACGCTACTAGGTGCTATCAAGGGGACAGCTCACAGTGACTCCATGAAAAACAGATCTGATTCTTGCCCTGCCCTGTGCCACACTTACCACCTTTGACAGACTTGCGTCCACTAGTTCTGTCACTGTGTCAATCTATCTTGCTGAGGATCTTCCTCTCTTTTGCTGATCCTCTCCCTTTCCCAGCATGATGTCCTTCTCCAAAGACTGGCCCCTCCTGACAACATGCCCAGCATACATGAGATGGACCGTCACTACTCTTGCCTTCAAGAAGCACATTGGTTACACGTTCTCCAACACATACTTGTTTATTCTCTTGGCAGTTCATGAGATATTCAGTACTTTTCTCTAACACCATAGCTCAAGGGCATTGATTCTTCTGTCATCCTAATCACTGTCCAACTTTTAGATAACAAGTAATTTTAAAAATGATGACTTGAATCAGATGCACTTTAGTCTTTACACATCATTGTTTCTTATTATCTTGAGAGGTCCCTGAAGCAGATATACCCATCTTTTGATTTCATGACTGTTGGTGCCAAAGATGTTGACTGTGGATCCAAGCAAGATGAAATTGTTGACTATTTCAGTCTTCTCTCCCTCTACCATGATGTTGCCTATTAGCCCATGGGGAGGATTCTGAATCCTAACTAACTAAATTACCTGCTGTGCAGGAGTATTATTTCCACACAAATTTGATATTGGAGAATGTCTACCAAAAATGAGTTTTACTTTTTTTCTAATAAAAGTTAGATTGTAGGGTCAACTTATTAGCTCAACCCAGTAAGAATCATGTTCTCTTTCTTTGTAAGTACCAAAGTGTAGAAATTCATCTCCCCAAACCAGATGTTTTTAAAATTTACAAATTACTTATTTAATGATTCTTAAAATTATGTACTAGTGGTGAGAAACTGCACTGCTATCCTGAAGGCATGTGGTACGAATCCATGGTGGGAGAAGGATGAGCAATCTCCTCTTGTGCAAATAAACTGTCTCTGAAAACCCACTGGAAGGTCAGCTATGGGTCAATTCCAATTCAGTGGTAAACAACAACAACTTGCAGACCATTCTAAAGAAGAGTGAAAAGAAATCCATGACTAAAAATCAAGAAAAGAATTCTTGTATCGGAAAGTAAGACTGAGAACTCTAGTAATGTTGATGTACTTTGTAAGGCAGAAATCATGTTATTTTACATTATAAGTTAAAAAAATTCTCTCCTTATCATGAAATAATTTCATAAAAACAACTATTTGTTGTTATGTGCCACTGAGTTGCCTGCAACTCATTACCCTTAGTACATTACCCCAGTTACTGTGTCAATCCTTCTCATCCTACGTCTTTCTTCCTGTGCTTTCTCTCTACCATTCCAAGCATGATATCCTTCTCTAAGGACTGGTCCCTCCTGGGCACATGCTCAAAGCATGTGAGATAGAGCTTCAAAATCCTTGCCTCCAAGGAGAAACTTGGATTCAACTTCTCCAAGACAGACCGGTTTGTTCTCTTGGTGGTCCATGGTATGTTCAATACTCTTTTCCAGCACCACAGCTCAAAGGCATCAATTCTTCTTCTATCATCCTTAGTTACTGGCCAGCTCTCTCATGCACAGCAAGTTATCAGGTGCACCTTAGTCTCCAGACTAACATCATTGCTCTTTAGCACTTTGAAGTCACTTTGCTGTCTCTGACAGCAAACTTCCTCACTGCAATTTGTCTTTTGATTTCTTGATTTTTGGAGCCGAGCAAGCGGAAACTGTTAACACCTCAATCCCTTCTCCATCTATTGTGGTACTCCCAATTGGCTCAGTAGTGAGAAGGAGAAACTAATCTACTGTATAAATCTCATCTTAAACATACACACAAATTAAAAAAAAGTCTTTCCAATGGCATGAGTAAATTTAAAAATACATTAAATGACATTTTATTAACCTACCTTAATAATGTTGTTGAGGAAAAGTGTCAAACATAATACCACAAATAAATGCAACAGTAGTTTCCCAAGCCTACTAAAGAAGGTTCCAGTTTTCAGATTTTTCTAGAAATTAAAAAAGCTGAGTTTTAATTCTTAACTTTTAACATAATAAAAATTTAGGATTAAAAGAAGTAAAACATTTAAATTTTGGATCATGCAACATACATATTCAAATTTATGTGGAATGTATGAGCTATTCAATGTCATGACAATTCAACTGTCCTGTGGAAGGAAGAACAACAAAACAACCACCAAAACACACACAAAAAAGCCAAACCCACAAAACCGAACCACCACTTTTTTTTATGCACACCCATGTTTACTGTTGTGTTTGTTTTTTATTATGATTTATTGCTATTTGCTACACAATAGCACAGATGGAAGCAACCCAAGTGTCCATCAACAAATGAATGGAAAAACTGCAGTGCATTCACACAATGGGGTATTACATAGCACTGAAAAATAATGAAATGGTAAATCATTACAAAACATGGGTAAGCCTGGAAGACATTATGCTAAGTGAAACAGCTCAGTCACAAAAGGACAAATATTGCATAACACCATTATAAGGATTGACATGGGAGGTTGGAGAGAGATTACGAAAAGAGTGCATAGATAATGAACACTGCATTGGGACTGATGAGGGAAAGAACTATCCGATATGTATGACAACAATCTGGAACAAAAGGTGTACTGCAAAGTGCACTGAGGGAGGGAGAAGGAGGAAAATGTATAACAATGAATGAATAAAAATCCAACCTTTCTGTAAACTTTGGTTAAAATAACAATCAAAAGAAAAATATTAGTTGCAACTAACTGTCTTTTTCCATTTTCAAACACGTTACACTTTATCTCTACTACTCATTTGTCAGGTTCTATAATTTTTCATCTTAGTCTCTCTCTAGAATTGAAGGCTCCTGAAGACAGGTATATTTTTGTGTTCCCTCTCCCATGTTTCTTATGTATCATGCATATGTTGTTGTTGTTGTTAAGTGCCATCGAGTCGCAGATGACTCATAGTGATCCTGTGAAGGAGAGTCCTTGACGCTTGGGTGCCTTTCATCCTCTCTCCAGGTTCATAGGGTTTCCGGAGGCAAACTATTATGGAAGTGGACGCCACTCCTCCTTCCACATCATGCATATAGAACACTGTATTTTCAAACTGAGGCATCATGTCTGAGGCACTAAATTTGATATCAGTTCTACATTTAGTTTTAAGGAGTCTCAACAATAAATGCACTCAGACTATAAACAATCTTGAAAGTGAAATGCCATATGGTTCACGGTACACAAAACATACTATGGGGACTTCATATGAAAAGGAGGTGGCCCAAATATCTGTAAAGTCTCTCCAATCTGAAAAAACTCCACCACATGTTCTGCTGTTTTTATCAATTTTAACATAGAACTCTACAGAAAAAATTAACACAGAAATCTTTTGGAGGCAAAGAAGCCTTTGATAAAAGTCTGATGTTGGCCCTGAGCAACAAGTTCACAGGCTTTAGGTTCAACCAGTACACAGGCTTTAGGTTCAACCAGTACAAAACACCACTCTTGCTGCTGTCAAGCTGATTCCAAGTCCTAGCAATTAAAAGTTTTACAGAGTGGAACTGCTCCATGGGGTTACATTAGTGGTAATCATTGCAGATATAGATTGGCAGGTCTTTCTTCTGTGAAGCAGATGTTGTGCTGAACTATTAACCTTGAAGGCTACAAACTACTTATGCTGCTCAAGGAACTCCCAAAAATTACAGCCAAGAAAATACCACAGAGCATTTTCTATCTTTAACATATGGGATCAGCACGCGTTGGAGCTGACTAGATACCAACAGATGAGTTAATCTTCATGACATTATACTGTCTTACGATTTGGAATAGTAGACAGAATAAGCTCCATTAGATGAGGAAACATGTCCTAGTTTCATTGATGTGTTTCATTGATTCTGCAAAGGTGTTTGACAGTATGGGTCACAACAAACTGTGGCTGACTCTGAGAAGAATGGGAATCCCAGAACATGTGATCGTGGTAATGCGAAACATATACTTGGACCAGGAGGCAGTCGTTAGAACAGACCAAGGAAACACTTCATGGTTCAAAATTGGGAAGAGTGTATGCCAGGGATGTATTCTATCTCCATACCTTTTCAATCCTTATGTAGAATAGATTATCCAAAAGGCTGGGCTCTATGAGAAGTGTGGCATCTGGATTGGAGGAAGACTCATCAACAGTCTGCGTTATGCAGATGACACAACCCTGTTTGTTCAAACTGAGGAGGACCTGAAGTGTTTGCTGTGGAAGGTCAGGGACTGCAGCCTTCACTATGGATTGAGGCTCAATATCAAGAAAACAAAGATTCTCACCACTGGGCCGACTGGCAGCATCATGACAGATGGTGAAGAGATTGAGATTGTTCACAGTTTTAGTTTACCTGGCTCCACAATCTTTGCACCAGCAGCCAGGAAATTAAAAGACGTATAGTGATGAGAAAGTCTGCAGTTAGAGACCTCTCTAAAGTACTGAAGAGCAATGACGTCAGTCTGGAGATGAAGGTGTGCGTGATACATGCCATGGTCTTTGCAATCACTTGCTATGCATCAGAGAGCTGGACAATGACTAGGGATGATAGAAGGAGAATTGATGACTTTGAGCTGTGGTGTTGGAGAAGTGTATTGCATATACCATGGACTGCTAAGAGAACAAACAGGTTTGTCCTGGAGAGGGTGAAGCCAGGCTGGCTGTTCCTTAGAGGCAAGGATTCTGAAGCTTCGTCTGAACACTTTGGGCATCTTGCAAGGAGGGACCAGTCCTTGAAGAGGGACATCATGCTTGGGAGGGTGGAGGGACAGCACAGAAGAGGAAGACCCTCAATGAGATGGATGATTCAGTGACTGGGGAAATGGGGGTAGTTGTCAGAGACAGTGAGATTGGCACAGGATAGGGCAGGGTTTATGGCTGTCATACATAATAGGGTTGTTAGGAGTCGCAGGCCACGCGACGGCACATAACAACAACAGCAAAACGACGACATACTAGCACATCTAGAGAATGAAGTGTACATTTGGATGGTACTTGAGATATGTTTAACTGAATAAATCTTTACAATATTTATTAGTTCATATATTGTAGGCAAAAGTATAATATGATGAATAAGAAAAGACGGTAGTATCAAAAAAGTGAACTTTGCTCTTTGGTGTATTTTAATTTTCTTATAATTCTTAGAGAATTTTATAGATTGTCAAACATAATAATAAGTATCTAAAGAGTTTAAAGGTAAACAACACTTATTTATAATAAAAATTTTTTCAAAAGAATGTTATTTTTAGATTGTAAAAGTAATAACAGAGAGATAGAGAGAGAACAAGACTTAGCATCCCACATGCAGTCTAGACAGTGGTGGCCAGAGGCTGGCGGAAGGCTAGGTCTGCTGATCTACAGGGCTAATGCCAGTCCCCTTCAGGTGTAGGCTGAATGAGAGGGATGCAGAATTAGCAGGACCGAAAAAAAAGCTTTGTAACATTTACCCAGGGAGAAAAGAGACTAAGGTCAAGAGGCCTGTCTGGCCAAGAGCACATTTATGAAGAGACTATCCTGATTTAAGAATTAGGTCCTTAGAACAAAGTGGAAGCCAAGTGAAAAACTCTTTCTTTTGACTTTTGGTTAGGATGGTATCTGTGGAAATAGTGGAAAGCGAACAAATTCTGGATATATCTTGCAGGTAGAAACAACAAAGCTTGCAATCAATAAAATAAACTTCTTGTCTTTTAAGCATAAAAAAAAGAATTAGGTCCTAAATGGTTCAAATCTGAATTGTAAACCCCATAATCATAAGTATTGTCTGTGAGTCCTATGGAGCCAGTGCAATGAATTAGAGTCCATTTGAGAGGTCAGTGAGTACTACGAGGGGGACAGCAGATGCTCGAACTGTTAGAAGATGTCCAGCCTAATGGAAATCCAAAATCTCTGTAAATGTTCATTAAAATTAATAAATTAAAAAAAAGATATCTAGCCTGAGGGGCATGTAAGACCTCATAGGAATCATCTTTGTGCTGCTGATGGGGAATCTTCACCTTGTGAAGTTAGTGGAAGTCCAACCTCCCCTCCACCTGCCATGCCACTCCCATCACTGTACCCTACATGATGGACTACCAAAACAGCAAATGGATCTCACTTGGAGGATATGGAACCAGGTTGTTCCTTAGAAGCAAGGATGTTGAAACTTTATCTCATATTCTTCAGAAAATGACATCATACTGGGAAAAGGAGAGATACAAAAATGAGATGAGGTCCTTAATGATATGGAGAGACACAGTGGCTGCAACAACAGGCCCGAGTCTGATGGAGATTGGGAGGCTGGTGCAGGACTTGGTGAGGTTTGGATCTGTTGTTCACATGGTCACTATGAGTCAGAGCTGACGCAAAGGTAACTGGGAAGCAACAACCCTCAGGAATATCTCTTTATTTCTAAAGATAGTAATTGGGATTCTCAAAAGGTTTTTAAAACAGAATTAATTTCACTTCATTTAAAAATCAGTAACAGAGTGTGAAAGATAGGAAAAGAGTACTACTACCACAACAAACATCAAGCACCTGGAAAGACTGATGAACACATATCTAGAAACAATACATTTCTCTTATTTTTATATTCACATACACACACAGACAAATTTAAAAAAAATTTTAAATGAAATTTTAAATCAATGGCATTTAACTAAGCACCTTAAGCTAATTCCTTATTGATTTAAGGTGGGTGGATGGAGGTAGTAAAGGAAATGGCAAAGATCCAGCAGGGATTTGAAAAGGCCGGATAATGATGGGCACAGTCCACCAGTGATTAATTTTATAAAACACATGGACTTCACCTAATGGCATGCACAGGAATCAGATCGACTACATCTGTGGAAGGAACCGCTGGAGAAGCTCAACATCAGCTGTGAAAACTAGGCCAGGGGCTGATTGTGGAACAGACCACCAA